TTTTTAAGTTCATTCAAATCTCTCTGCAGTTAGTCCTGTCCAAAATCTTTTCAAAATATTTAAAGTAGTGCCGGTTAAGTAGTAATAATATGAACTCACTGATAAAGAGCGCTTAATCTTGCTTAATTAAAATTTAAAAAATTAATTTCCCTTATAATTCTCTTTTTCAGGCCAAGATGGAATTTTTAAAGCCAGTTTATAAAGCACAGTATCTGTTAATATTGATAATACTGAAACTAAAAATGATACGTGTTGCTTTAAATTCGTATTAGGTCATTTAACTGAATTGACTTAAGAGGAAGCAGACAGAGTTCTTAATCCTGACACTCCAGTGTGCTAGTATGATTATATTTTTATTGTACCCATTTAGAACTGAGCACCTACATACAGTTTCAAGAAAATGAGACTCTGTCCTATAGGATCTTCCCAAGCTCTGCCTTTGAACAATCATTTGCTTTTGAATAGGTTGTAACTGTTGAATATAAACTTTGAATATTTTATTCTTTTTCTCTCACTTAACTTTTAAACATCTTTCCACAGCTATATTAGGAAAGTTGGGTTGACCATTTAGCTCAATGGGTGTGACCTTGGTAATTTCCTTGAAATAAGTGATGAAGGGTTTAGAGTTGCAGGTTTTGACTGCCTCTATAGAGTTAGTTCTCTTCATTGTCAGATATGTAATATTGTTATGTGTAAAATATAGACAAGAAACCTATAGAAAAACCCATCAGTTTCCTAATCAGATCTTGGAGATAATTTTGAAGTTTAAAGGATACAAATGAATTGGCCAGAGACTAGTGGTTTAGACTGGAGTTTTAATGATCATTTGACACTTACAACTTGGGTGGTGGTGGGGGGAGTAGAGTTACAGGAATATTGAAACAACTAGGCTGTGAATAGAATTTTTATGTGTTTTTGACAGGTTTTGAGGACTTTGGATACATTATTGCTCCATACTATAGTAATAAATATCCCGTACCAAGACGTGTAGTATAAGCTGTTACACTGCAGTAGAAGTGTGCTCTCCCTAAAGCTGACAGTTTGGGTACAGCTGTATATAAAGAACAGGATTTCCAAGCCACAGCCGTTTCTGGCGAGGTGGCATTTACCTCTCATTTGTTGTGCTTAAGCACAAATTGTGCTTTTCATTAAGCTTTGTCTGATGTGTAATATTTGCCAATTTCAGGGTCTGTAGGTATTGGCAGAATTCATAGTAACTTTACTCACAAATGAATATCTGCTTAAAAGAAATAATGACCCAAAGGACCTCAGACTTCTGTTTCAGGCAGTTACAGCAGTATGGTTCCTACTCTTTTCAAAGCGTATGTTGTGGTAAATTAGAAAAAAAGTATCTTCTTAAGTGATCACAATATAAATTAAACCCTAATATTCTCTCAAAATATAAGGTTATTCTGAACAACCCCTTGCTTTAGGTGCTTTAGGAGTCTATGGCCGATGGTTAAGTGCTGTCATTAACCTGAGTAAAGGTTAAATCTTTCTTAAGACACTGAAAAAATTTTTGCTAAGTGCCTTTCAATAAGCTTAGTGTGTTCAGAATGCTCATTTTTCTGCAAACAAAAAGCATTTAGACTATAGGTGTTTGTGTGTGTGTGTGTGTGTGTGTGTCGTAGTGGTCGTCGTCACTATCGCCCCCCCCCCGCCCCCAGTTCTTTGTCAAGACAGACAATTTACTTTATCAGCAGTGCCCTTGGTGTACTGTTGGCGCCTGTGTGCTCACACGTAGGATGCCGAAGGTTCTGGGAAGCCTGTGTGCCTTCGTACACTTCCCTCGATTGGAATGATGATTTGTTATTAACGGTAATTAGGCTTGAATGGCTGTTTTTGTAAGTTCTGTTATTATTAAAGTTTTCATTATTACAGTCACTCTGAAGATTTTTGATTTTTGTTTAGCAGATTGGTTTTAAGTGATGTAGTTTCTGATTAGTAGTTTAAGGAAGTGTTTTGTCTGCCTGAAGTTTCTAAGTCAAGAGTTGAGGGCATTTGGTCTGAGAGATTTCCCTAGCCTGCCCTGTGTTTTTGTTTTGGTAGGTCAGTGAGGGGAGGGGTTGTATACCCAAGTGATGTAGTGTTGCTTGTGCTAGTCAACTTTATGGTATGATTGTGATTCATTTTTTTTTATTATACTCTTAACATTGCAGGAAATGCTAATTAGATGGCAGCCACAGGTAGCCATGTAGAAATCTTGATGAACATTCAAGTTAATTTTAATATCTAGTCAGTTATGGTTGGTGACTGTGGCCAGAGGTGCACATACTCATTCTACACCTGTACTGGTTACGTGGTGTCTGTTCATTTATCCACCAGATGTGTCTTGAGGGCCTAACCCTGTGCCAGGCACCCCTTCTAGGCACTGGGGGGCAGCAGTGAACCAGATGGACAGTCTCTGTCCCCCAGGATCTTACAGAAGACATGGGCCATCCCTTTAAAGTATCTTTTGGGGGAGTAGT